AATTTTACCATATTAGTTATTCTTTAGGCAAGTTTTTAAATACTTTTCTTGGGGCCTCCTTTTTCATAATTCTTAAGCCACAGAAATTTCTCTAAAATTGATTTTAGTATAATTTAGTGATATGATAAATTCTGTAACCTTTTTCTCTAATTGTTTTATATGCATGTTGTCTCTCTCCCCAAAGGTTTGGCTCTTAGATATTAGAGACCATTTCATCTCATGTGCTCTTACATTCACCACAGTTCATATATGTAAAGACTTTGGAACAGAGTATAGTAGTTAATAATTTTGACTCTTTTTATTGTCTAACATATATATATATATATATACCTTATACACATTATTTCCCATTTAATTTAATCTTCACAACCACTTTACAGAATAAAACACTACTCTCAGAGTAAGGATCTAGCCAGGTTATGCTACAAAGTGACAGACCCAAGACTCAAAGCTAGGTCAAAGCCAGCATTCTTTCTAGTACTCAAAAGCAGTAGTTGGGAACCTACGGCCTGTGTGTTACTGCAGACTGTTTATATCATTGAAAGCTCTAAAATGTTCACCATCACTTCCCTAGAGCCTCTCTATACCATACTATTACCTTTCATGCTGCTAAATTTATAGTTCTTGAAGAAACTATATTTAAAAATAAACTATTGCTTTCCTAAATCTAATTATTCACGGGCTGGAGAGATGGCTCAGTGGTCTAAAGCACCTACTTAGAACAAGCTTAGCAAAAGCATCAGGGACCGCGGTTCAATCCCCCAGCACCACATGCCAGCCAGCCCTGCCCCCTGGTGGGCTGAGCTGGTCTCTCTCTCTCTCTCTCTCTCTCTCTCAAATAAATAAATAAATAAATACTAAATCTAATTATTCACGTTAAATATCTAGTAGCCCAAATGGCTATCCAATACAAAGAAAAGGAAAGAAAAAAATATATTAAGGTGAAAAACTTCAGTTTTCATTTCTCCAGGATGCCTTCTTTGAAACAATCTCTAAAGTGTCACAAACCAAGAAAATAGAAATGTAGAGGAATTTTTTATCTTTATAAAGAGCTATGAAAAATAGTTTTAATGTAATCATTCTCATAAGTGGTCCAATGTAATAATGAAACTCAGCCTCATTGAAACATGGATATTATGGAATCTCCATGTTCTTTGAGTTTACTCTTTCAAGCAGGATTTTTATCTTCTTTCAAATAAAAATAAGACTTCATTGTCATTATTTATCTCAACTTTTATTGGAAATCATTTTGGATTTATAGAATAGTTACAAGGATAATACAGTATTTTATTCATCTTCCTTTAGTGTTACCATCTTACAAATCCATAGTACATCCATGAGAACAAATTAGCATTGCTAAAATACTATTAAATTCTAATGACTCAATTTGTATTTTTACACTAATATCCTTCATCTATTCCCCAGATCAATCTAAAACACATTACATTTAGTGTATGTCTGCAGTATCTTCCAATGTGTTACAGTCTTTCAGAACTGACACCTCTGAAGTCTACAGAATGTCCCCCAACTTGTGTTTCCTTCCTTAATATTTCTTCCTTAACATACTGAGTTTATGGGTCTTCAGGAAGAGTACTACAAAGGTAATGTGTTGTTATCTCATATTGGGCCACATTATCAGCATGATTCTTAGTGATGGTATTAATTTGATCTTTTGAGATAACATTTTAAAAAAAAAAAAAACATCTTGTCTATAATGAAAGTCAGGAGAAGACTGTTACCACTGAGCTACATCCAAGTTTACGTAATTATTATTTCATCTAATGATTTAATTGGTAAAAGTCTATTGGTTAATCATGGATTCTTATTAAGTCATGGGAAAGGCTAAGATTTAAGGCTCTAAGATCTGAGTTTGAGCTTACTACTTGCTGACTTCAGATCATAGTTTTTACCTGCCTTAAGTTCTTCATCTGAAAAATATGGTTATCACATTTACCTGTAAGACTTGCAAAGATTAAATATGTATTTATCACTCTATAACCATGAAACAGTATACAAATATTACTTGTTGCTATTATGTTTAGCTTTTGAGTTTCTACTGGGCATTTTTTCTTACATTACAAAAGGACTTTCATAAGTAGTATAAGCAGCTATATGAAAATTGCAAAATCTCAGAAATAAAATGCTAAAGACACAAGTATAATAAAAAGCCCCCTTAGGAGGCCAGTGTATTTCCCACCTTGTTTATCTACAATATAGTAAAAGGGAAAGTTTGTGACCAGGTTAGTAAATTGTAATTATCTCAAACACATTTCCTACAGCTAGTCATTTAGAAACTGTGCACATTGAGTCAGTGAGAGAAAAACACAAAACAATTTGACTAAGTTGTATTTTGTAAGACCTTTACAATAATGATGAACTGCTAAAGACAAAGGTTCCCAGACTGTTAGTATTCAATATCCAGCTATAAAGGCTGTCTTTCAGCATTTGAGGGACATATCACTGTGATATTAAATAAGAAACCACTACTATCAATTTGATAGAGTCCTGTACTTAACTCTGCATCTTTCCTGTAGACATTAGAACACAACTTTATTGATGGAAGACAACTCTTACATCTACCTCAGTCAACTAACAAAAAATATGACATTGTCATCGCTGGTGCTTAGTAATGCTCACTTACACTTTGAGCAAGACTATAGTCTCTATGCTGCCAGTTCTGGTTTATACAATAGCACAATAGGCAGAATAAACAACAGCAAAACTAGAATTTACAAAACTCAACTTCTCTAAAGATGCTAATATTCCCACAAAAGCAACTAAAGTAGTCATCATGGAGGAAACAAAACTTGGGGGAGGCAAGGTACTATCAAAAATTTTTCAGTGCTTAACACTAACAAAAATCTTAATTTAGATCTATAATCATGTTTAACCATATTGCTAAATTACTATATATTGTATTTACTCAGTTATTCAGTTATTCAGTAATTGAGTAAATATTATTATGAAAAATGTACATCTATGGGAGGAGTTCAGACAGGGTCTATATGTCCAGATTGATCTCACTATGTAGCACAAGCTGACCTTGAACTTGCAGCTATCCTCCTGCCTCAGCCTCCAGGGTGCTAGGATTATAGGTGTGCACACATATACCTGTTCTGTACCTAAAAAGTACAATTCAACTTCTCATTATATTTCCTATAAACAACAAACCGTTAGTAAGTGCTGGAAAACAATTTATATAAATTTGTCAGGCATGATGGCACATGCCTATAGTTCCAGCACTCAGGAAGGAGACTGAGGCAAGAGGATTGCCATAAGTTCCAGGCCAGCCTGGGCTACATAGTGAATTCAAGCCTAGGTTGAACTACATAACAAGACCCTGTCTATAAATAAATAGGACTAATGTCCATTATTACTTATCAGCCATGGCATAGTTCCCAGTAAAATCAAAAGTAAATTATTCATTATTGGTATAAATGGAGTATTATTTTATTTGAAATGTCTAAATATATATGTTTAAAAAAGTTAGTTACTGTGCTGTGATTCCTACTCAATTCACAACTCGGCTGTAGTTACCTCAGAAAAAAGCTGGGTTTTCTTAACAATTCAGTTAGAAAAAACATCACCGTATTCTTCACAGCTTCTACTCTCCGTCTACCTAAAGACCAATCTGTTGCTAGCTGATAATGCACATGTTTCTGGTGTTTTGTTAATACTCCCAGTTTTCAAGGAGCTGGGTACAGATGTTGCTTGAGGATATACTTGCCAGGAACTGGTTCTAATTACACCACTTGCATTTTTTGCTTGGTTTCATTTTGACTACTGCAACCATGTTGAATTTGAGCATAAAAATACAAAAACCAAGGGTTAGTTATTTCCACATAGCTAAAGTGGAATTTATACGTTCAGAGAACTGTTGCCCAGCTAGTGAAATCAGTAATTGAGGCAGGCTAGTCCTTCGTGCTTGGATCACCCTCCCCGAATCACCCTGCAAAACCACGTTGTGAGAAGATTTCAGTAACAAACACATAGCTTCTGGAAAACACTTCCTAAGACTTCTTTTATGTTTCGCTTAAAAACTGTTTTTCTCCTATTTCTACAAGAATAGGAATATTTCACATTTGCTAGACCCTGGAACTTTGACTTCAGATTACATTATGATTTCTAATGACATGGTCCACGTTTCCATAAAACTCAAGCGTAATTGGCTTTTTCCCACGCCGCGGCCACCTCCACAGCCCTCGCCTAAGGTCTTGGCAGGTGCGAGGCCAAGGCCGGGCTGAACCCAGGCCGAGTTCACCGTGCGCGCGCCCAGAGGTAGAGGCGGCCGCGCAGGCCTGACTGCGCGAACTTGGCGAGCCTAGCTGCGGCGGCGCGGAGGCGGGCGGACCTGCCCCACTGCGGTCGGAGAGAGGCTCGCTCCTCGCCAGCTCGCCCTCAGCGCGCCCGCCGCCCGCGTCCCCGGCCGGCCCGGCCTCCCCGCTCTCCACAGCTGTCTCAATTAACAACCGCCCAGCCCCCGGCCGGGTCCCAGTCCCCGTCCCGCCCGGACAGCCCGGGTTTCGCGTCCCGGACTCTATTCCGCCCGCTCCGTGGTGCCTAAACTCGGAAATCAGGCCCGGCTCCGTGGCACCCAAACTCAGCTCGGGCAGCAACCCAGCCGCGGGACAGGTAGGCGGGGGCCTGGCCCCGGAGCCCGCGAGGAAAAGCGGCTGGAGCGCCGAGGGGGCTGCGCGGGCGCGGGCCGGGGGCGGAGCTCGCGGGACTCGGAGCGCGAGCGCCGCCCGGGCGGGGGGCGGAGCCGGGCCTTCCCGCTCCCGCGGCGCTGTAACTCCGCCGAGCCTCCTTAAAACTCTGCCGTTAAAATGGGGGCGGGTTTTTCAACTCAAAAAGCGCTCAATTTTTTTCTTTTCAAAAAAAGCTGATGAGGTCGGAAAAAAAAGAGAAGAAACCGGCACCATCTCTTCAGAGGTAACAGAAGCAGCAATTGTTTCTGCGAAAAACTGTAACTAGAAAGGGAGGGAGAGAAGGAAAAGATTAGAAAGAGGGACTACGCACAAGTGCCCGTAAGGGTGAAGGGAGCGGAGACCAGCGGTTCTGCGGGACTGATTACAAAAGAGACTGTCACCGGCAGCAGCGCTTCGGCTGGGGAAGAAGCGAGCCTCTTGTTCAGCTCCAGGACACAGCTGGCTGGCAGCCGCTGCCTGCCGGCGGCACAGGGGGACCGCGGACGCCTGGCGGAGTGGCACAGGGCGCCGAAGCTGCTGGGCGCTCGCCAGGAGGGCGGCGGGACTGGCTGAGCCCTGGAACTGCGGCGACTCCCCATCCTCAGAGCTTGGCCTGCGCCTCCCGGACCCTCCCCAGCTCCGGAGGCGCCCCGAGTACCGAGCAAGGAAGGGAAAGGCGGCGGTTCGGCTGAATGAGTGCCTCCAGCGGAAAGCCTGAGCGAGCCCAGTAGTCGGCGGGAAGTTACCGGCGAGCTGACCCATTGCTGCAGCTGCGATGTTGCCGCGAGCAGCCTCAGCCGCTCGGGCCGCCTAGACGTTCCCGCGTCGCTCGCGCCCGTCCTGCCGCTCCCGGGGTCCGGGGACGCGGTGGGGCAGACATGCCGGACTTGCCAGGGGCCTGTCGCGCGTCCCGCAGCCTCCGGAGACGGGCGCCGAGCCCGGCTCCCACGGCCGAGCGGCGGGGCTGCGGCAACCTGGCGGCCGGGCTTCGGAGCCTTGCAGCGCGGCGCTAGCCCGCGGCTCGGCCCGGACGGGACCGCAGCTGCTCCAGTGAAGCCGAGAGTGCTGGGGACTCACTAGGAGCCCTAACTTCAGGGCCACGAACTGCTACTCCCATCTGCCTTTGGCGATCGTCTTTAACGCCCGGAGCACGTCAGCATCTAGCCACTGCGGCGCTCAGCCTGCCGCACAGAACTCGGGACTACCCCTTCGGCTAGGCGAATGGAAACCGAGCCCCTTGGAGGACCTGCCCCCGAAGTTCTGGCCCAAGTCACCACCGTGATCAAGGGTGGGTTAATTTCCCCTCCCCCGCGCCTTTTCTTCCGTGGTATTTCTGCCCTGACCTAGTCCCTTAAGTCTTCACTCGCATTCCTCACCGAGGTCCGCAGAGTAGGTACGTGACAGTTCTGCCTACATCTCACGCCCAGCGTAATTAACCAAGAATGTCCATGTGTCTGTCTGTTGGATCACCAGAATTCTTCATAGGGGTTAAACTAAAAAGCGAAGAGAGGAGCCCCTCTCCAATGGCTCAGTTTTGCTGAATAATCACGTGTGAATCGAGGGGCGGGCTTTTGGCAGGCAGATCTTACTAGTATTTACTACCAAGTTCTACTCTAGATTAACCATCCCAGTCCTTTCTGTCAGTCTCCGATGCCATCATGCAGCCTAGTTAAGAGCAAAGGAAGAGGGAGAAACAAAAACAACTAATTCATCTTTCCCCGATCGTCAGGACCCTGAAGAATGGCCGAGCCGTGGGGGAACGAGTTGACGTCCGCAGCTGCCAGGGGGGACCTAGAGGAACTTACTAGTTTGTTGCAAAATAATGTAAACGTCAATGCACAAAATGGATTTGGAAGAACTGCGCTGCAGGTTAGTATACAGAGAGATGGGGAAAACAGGTTAATGTTGTTGCCTACCTGACGCGAGTTTCTAGAATGACAGCTTTTCAGATTTCAGGAATACAGATTTTCACTGTTTTTAAACTAGTTGGTTGCCATATTTTATATCTTTAAGTGGATCCAACTCCCCAAAATGACGTACTTTAAACAAACTCATCTAATCCAGTAATATCCTCGATATTAAGAGGATTCTAGGTTTAGTCTTTATTTTTGGAATGTTTTTTGTTACGGTGGGGATTTCTAAGTAGTCATAGCAGTGCGGAGGTTTGTTTTGTTCTCTTTTGCTTTGTTTTAGACAGTTCTGTAAACACATTATCATGATCATTATTTGAAGTAAATACACTGCTATTAGTGGCTTCATGTACTTTGCCCCTAATAATTGACTTCAATGTTAATTTTCTTGACTACTAACAATCCCCCCCCCCAATTCTTCACGTTTTGACAAATGACCTTTCCTCTTTTGGAATGGGTGGCCTGGGCATAGGGACAGGATGTACATTTCACAGTTAATATAATATCTTCTACTTATTCAGGAGTGAGAAATAAAAGGTTGAATTTTATAATCAGAGCTGAGATGTAGTGTTTTTGTCCCTGTGGTCTTGCGGTGGTATGCTCTAATTTTCAGTAATTAGATTTACAGGCAACAACTGACACATGTCCAGCTGCCAAGTATGTACCTGATAATTTTTTTTTCTCCTCCAAACATTATCATGTAACTTAGTTGAAAGGCTCAAAAACAGAAAAATGGTAAAGTAGTCTCAGAGAGTTGCTTTATCAGAGTTCTGATGATAATCCTATGAGCTGTTCTTACTCAGAAGCTGTTTATGAAATCTGGATAGGAGGCTTTTTAAAAGTCTGGCTTAAAGGGTTTGGTTAATACAATTAGAAGTTTAAGTGACCAGAGATATGACAAAGTTCATATAGACTATAAATATTGAATCAGAACACACTGGCCTTGCAAAAATTTCAGTATTAAGGAAGCTATACATAGATGCTAACTTACATTGTTTCATGTAGAATAAGTAAAGAAAGGTTTTTTCTTTTCCTTTTTTTTAAACCTAGAACTTTTTAACAGATTCGGTGGTTATAGTAATGCCACAAATTTAATATGTTGTAAAGTTTCCTACTAAAAGGTCAAAAAATGTTGTGTCAGTCTCACAAATCATGAGCCACTTCACTCATACTGAGAATAAGATCTTACAGGACTTCTGATGAACAAGAAGATTGGACACTTAATATTATTTTTTAAAAAGGTTTGGCAAATCTTTTAATACAACTCCGCAATCTTATTTATATTAAACATACTTATCAAGATAATAGTACTCACTGTGGTTTAGTTTTAGTACATACAGTGAAATACAAATAGGAGTCTGAAGGTTTATTTTTCAGTATGTATAATCCTGACTGCAGTTGTGTTATAAGAAGGAACTTTTTTCAAAATCATTTATAATATTATTATTTTCTTTGAGAGATGATAAATTTTCTCCTATAATTATGTTTATTTAACACAATTGCAAAAACTTTCGCTTTCTAGTGTAAGTTTTTCAATCAGGATAGTATCAAAGGCCTTAATCATACATTTGTTTGCAAAGAGCCAAGCTACTAGTCTCTTGTTTTTCTTAATTCTAAATCCTTAAATGTGACTAAGTCTTTACAAAGAATGGTGGCAAAATTAGAGTTTATTAATTTGTAATAACCAAAAATATATCTCATTGAATTTCTTAAAAAATAAATTATGTGTCATTTTTACTACTGCCCTAAAAGAAGGGCTAAAAGTTCAGTTTTATCATTGAGGAAACTTAATAGTTTGACCATCTATGTACTTTGTATTGCTAAAATATTATTTGTTCTAATTATATTTTATTAATTTGTGACTTTCGTGATCAAAAGTTTTAAAACAAGCATTTTAAAGAGATAAATCAACACCGTATGTATTTTCCAATGGATTATTATTTAATTTAATAAACATGGAGTGTTTTCTATGTAGCCTATTTATTATAAAATTAGGTTATTGTGAATATATGTATATATAAATAAATTAGTTAAAATGCTGAACATTTCTGGCATGTTGATGAGAGTAATATTTTTCACAACTAAATTATATACCTATTTTATAACTTGCATGCTGTCCTGTAATATATTTTTAATTATGAGAGATTAACACACCTTTATTAAAGTGAAGTACACTTAAACCACAGTAAATAAGCCTTTGTGATGTAAATTGTTTTGTAAATTGGTAAAACATGTTAACACTACATCCTGACTTTTTAAATATTATCAGTTTACAAATAGCTATTCCTAAATGCTTATAGTAACTGCAAAAGGAGATGACAGAATGCCAGTTGATTGTTAAATGTGCTCAAGTCCTAAAACAAAGCTGTCTGTGCCCCAAAACACACTTCAAATATTTTACTTTTTTCTTTTGCTTATTTGAAAATCAAGAAGTTAGTTAGAACTTTGAGAAACAGTAATATAAGGTAACTGTTTCATTCTTTTCAATAATTTTTGCTTTACAATCATTTCCTATCTAAAACCAGACATATTATGAACTTGGTATTAGATAAATTGATATAATAAGCAATACAGAACACTCTGGTTTATTTAATGCTGTAGTAATCAGTAGCATTCTATAATTTAAAATGGATTCTAAGCAATGAATATATCCTGTAGTCAGCATTAAAGAACTTACAAAAAAAATCATATTTTTTTAAAAAAGCATTTGGAAATTTGAGGTTCTACTTATTTGAAGGGAACTTGTAAAAATTAATCATTTAAGGAAATGTCAAGTCTTTATTTTTAATAGATCAGTTTTACACTCGGCAACGTAGTTTGGGGTTTTAAAGAAATACACCATTCTCATTTATTTTCAGTAGCTATTTAGAAAACAAATTTTAACCACATTAGATTTTCCAGAATTAATACCTCAGACACATTTTATGAACATTAAAAAGAAAAAAGACTTTCTTAAGTCACAAATCTGGTTTCTCTTATATGTATTAATAAATTTATGAAAGAAACTATAACTCTTCATGGGCAATAGAGAACTGAATTATCAATGACATTTATATAACTTGCATAAATTTTATTTTATTGATCAATTTATCCAACTTCTGGGCCTGTTTAAAATATTCTGTTAAAGAAGTTCAATTTTTAGAAGTTTCCTTTTACTTTCATGGACCAGTTCTTTCCTGCAACTGAACTAGTCAAGCCTTATACTAGGACTCTTCCCCAAGTACACCATCAAAAATAGTCATTTAAATAGGACAGATATTTTAAAATATTCCTGTAGCACGAGCACTTGAAGGAGTCTACTGTTTTTACCTCTTTTCTAGGTTATGAAACTTGGAAATCCTGAGATTGCCAGGAGACTACTACTTAGAGGTGCTAATCCCAATTTGAAAGACCGAACTGGTTTCGCTGTCATTCATGATGCAGCCAGAGCAGGTTTCCTGGACACTTTACAGACTTTGCTGGAGTTTCAAGCTGATGTTAACATCGAAGATAATGAAGGGAACCTGCCCTTGCATTTGGCTGCCAAAGAAGGTCACCTCCAGGTGGTGGAGTACCTTTTGAAGCACACGGCCAGCAATGTGGGGCATCGGAACCATAAGGGGGACACCGCCTTTGACTTGGCCAGGCTCTATGGGAGAAATGAGGTCCTTAACCTGATGGAGGCAAATGGGGTTGGGAGAGCGACAGATCTGCATTGAGTATGGGGAGGGTTTTCCTACATCGCCTATGCTTTGTCATTTAATTGGTTGGCTACCTTGACTATTTTAATATCATTCCTTAAGATAGGTTTTTTTTTTCATACTTTAAGCAGCTAGTTAAATCTTCTGAAGCAGCATAAGTGAAATTCTTCCTACAGGTTTATGGTTATATTTAAGCAATATTTTTTCACTGGCAAAACCCCTGATTTCTAATATGTAATTGCAAATAGCTTTGCTTTCTTCTGAACATTTTATCCCTTTGACTTTTTCTTTGCTTACCTTTTTATACTCCTTTGCTTATCTCAGTATCCAACTTGGAGGCTTTGTTTTTAAAATGATTTGTGCTGATGCTTCTTTTGCCTAATTAAAATACTGCTTCAGAACAGGATAACGTTTTTCTGTGGTTTTCCCTCTTCTGTAACCTACACAACTTAGTATAGCTAAGAACTGTGCTAGAAGTTCATGTATTAAGTATTGGAAAGGTGGACCATTTGGAAAACTAGACATATTCTGTTTATAATTTGTTTTTTTCTCTCCCTTTCCCACCCTATACATTTTGCTTGCTGCCTAGTATTTCTGCTTTAAAACAAGAGTAACATTTTTGAAGATCAAACCTGAAATTATCTGTGAATTTCTCCAAATGTTCAATCTTCCTTTTTAAAAAAAAGTCAGATACTTGAATTTTCACAAGTAGTGATCTGAAAACAAATATGTATGAGCTCTGAAGCCACTTTTTAAAAAATTATCACCTTAAAGTTACTTCCCATTAGTTGATTTTTTAAAATTACAAAATGAAACAATTAAGTGATACATTTCCCAAAATTGTACCATAAATATGCTAAACATAATGCCTTTTTTTTTTTGTGGCGGAACCGGGGATTGAACTTAGGCCCTTGCACTTGCCAGGGAAGCGCTTATTCTACTGAGCCATCTATTACTGGCCCCCATAATGCCCTTTTCTTCTCGAATGTCAGAAATACAAAATTATAAAATGTTTAAGTATTAAAATAAAATGCAAATTCAAGCTTTTAGGTGAGAAAAGACAGCAAAAAAAAAAAAAAGTAAAATGACATACAAAGGTCATACCTGTTTTAGGGTATACAAAATGATGGATGTATAGTCTTTTAGACTAAATAAGCCACTTTACCATATGGTTCTTAACTTCAACAAAACATTTCTGTATAGGAGTTTTAAATCTTTTTTTTTGAAACCTGTTTAGCTAAAAAAGAAATGTAAATGTTGAAGAAAACAGAAAGATCTTAAACATCCAGGAAGATTTCCCATCACCTACTTACTCTCATGTTAAAGATTGTTAACAAAGGATTTCAATGCAGTTAGCCATTTTAAATGTAGATACTTTATTCACTATTTTCTACATGAGCAAAGGTGTTTTATGTCAAAGTCCCCTCCTTCTGCTTTGCATGCCTTCTCCCCTCGCCTCAAAAAGAACAAAATACTTCAAGGCATATTGAAGGGCATGGTTTCTGATTCTTGCCCTAACAAGAATTGGAGTGGTTACAGACAAATGGGTTTCAATCATTTAATTTCATGATCATATACAAAAATATAAGAGGAGATTTTTTTAATCCTTTTCATTTTTTGAACTAACATTGACATTCCCTACATTAAGTGCGACATGACTTCAGTTTCTGCGACCTTTAACCACAAGTTATAAATGAATTTATTTGTGATGGCTACATGAAATTAAACTTAAGACACTTCTTTTAGAGAAAAGAAACAGATGGCTTTGAAAGAAAAGGTGTATTTTAGATTTAAGGAGTCGATATATAAAATATATTGTTTTAGTAAGCTGAATATTATCTAAGCACACACCATTACTGAAAGGAATAAAAACAACCCTTCTTATGAATTAGTTATAAAGTTGGATGATTCTAAATTTTAAATACAGTTGAATGGACTTTACAATATCTACATGTCTCACCATTTACTTTATCCCATGAAGTATAATTTCTCTTTAGGTATTTCAAATATAAAGGCTTAGGACTATTGTAAAGCAAAAGAGAAATACCGCACTGGCTTTGTTCTAGGATGATTAGAGCACAATAGAGAGAGGAAGCTCTAGCTCATCAGCCTAAAATTTGTTAGGCATTAAAACATCTCCACATTACTCTGGCTCTTCTCAGGAAGTAGCTTTGCTAATCTAAGTATTTTAGAAATGACTTATGTGGTCCCCTCTAGGAAATATGAAAGGCCATTATTCAATCTCATAAAACCTCGATAGTATTCAGTAAAGATGCGAACGTGCAGAAATGTATAGGATGAAAGACTGCTGCAGAATTCAATTCATTCTAATTCGCAGTGAAAAGAGGTGGGGAGAGGTCTGAATTTATACAGATGCTTAAAGTAAGGATGTAGCAGCTAATTAATAAAGTGCGCACAGCCCCAAGGAACAATGCTGTAGAAAGGACAAAGGCTATAAAACAAGAGGCACGCTCTACTTCAGTTCTTTACTGGGTCCTCATCCACTTCGGGGAAACAAGTTCAGCTTTATTTTAGCCCAGTAAGCTAAACCTAGACTCATGCTTGGGACGAGATGTGGGCACTTACAGGACCTCAGTCCAAGTTCTGGTCCCCGAACCACTAAACAAAGTGCCTCTTATCATATTGTGGTACAGCATCAGTAGTTCTTGATGAACATTGCGCACTTCGCATTGATGCGATGAGCTCGCATACACACACACCACGCTAGGTAACTGACAATACATGTTTTGTCCTGGGAAAGCAATTCATTTGTCAATATGATAAATTTCCTTTATCGTCTTGATCAAACATTATAGAATAGGGTGCTGGGGACTAATATTGAAATCTGAGTTTCAAAATACTGTGTTTTTGACTTTTATCGGGAAGTAGAGCTAATCATCCAGCACAGCTGGAGCTCACAGCGCGGCACTGAGAAAGGGTCGCATTTGTAGCATTCCGACCACCCTAAGCAACCTTCCCTAGAAGACCAAGAAGGGAAAGTCCCAATCTTGGTATCCAGTTACTGTTTTGTTTGTAACACGGCGGTCCCATGAAAAGAGATCCACGTAGAGATCTAGTGAGGTGCAGGCAACAAACTTTCTGCCTGGAAACTGCGCCCACAGACAACCGATGCCCCACGGAGGGATGCGAGGACATCCCTTTGAAACTCTCCCAGGCTCCAACTCCAGCCCCGGGAGCCCTGGTGAGGAAACTGGAGCCCGATCTCCCTCCCGGCGCGCAGAAAAGCCCGGGGTGGGGGTGGAGGAGCTGCAAAACCGTTAGCTTGCGTTTTTCTTCCCCTCCCCTCCCTCGCTAAGGTTTCTTTTCTCTTCTCTTCCTGTCCAAATAATTCAAATTTCCGCGCCTTAAATAACAGTCTTTTTTTTTTTTTTTTAATTTAGTTAGTTTTCTCGGCAGGTTTGGCCGCGCGCTGCTCTCTGCACCCGTCCACCCCGGACGGCTCGGGCGCCCGGACGCCGCTGCAGCCCCGCGCGGTCTCGGCCGGGCCGCGCAGCCCCCGCGCCCGCTGTAGCCACGGCCTCCGCCTGCGGCCGCGACCTCGCCTGACCCCGCTGTCCGGGTGCCCGGAGCCAAGGAGGCCGACCCCTGCCCGGACGGCGGCCTGCCTCCCGGCCGGACTCCACTCCCGAACTCAGGAACGTCTTCTGCTTTGGGGTTTGGAGCCCAGGGCCCCCGGGGGTGGGAAAGCGGCGGCGGCGCCGGAGCCTGCCCCAGCCCCCACCCGCGGTAACCTTGGCGGCGCCCTCGAGTGAGTGAGAGCGCGGCCGGCCGGCCGGCGAGCGAGCGGGCGGGC